AGTGCACAGCACGTCCATGGAGGGGGACACGTGGGGTGGGGTGGGGTGGGGGCCTGAGGGCGCACAGTAAAGCACAGACTCTCAATGTCCTCTTTGTAGGAAGACGGAAGAAGGTGTCAGGAAGAAGGAAGACCCAGTCCAGGTCGTCTGTGAAGAGCAGGGGCTCCGGGACGAGGTCTAAGAAACGCCAGGGTCGTGCCAAGAAGAGAAAAGGGAAGAGGTCAAAGGTAGCCCCTCGGATAGCGGGGTGGGACTCAGACGAAGCCTCCTTTCTGTGTTTACTTAGAGAGTCACTGATAAACATGACCCTTTTCTGCAGCAGAGAGTAAAGGTGGGGCTGGGACAGGAGTTTTGCCAGGACCCTTTGGAGCTGGGCATCCTGAGGGAGGGGTCGTGTGCAACTCCGGGCACCCCAGAGGTGGGCCCTGCGGGGTGCGGAGGGGCAGACAGGCCAGAGGGTGGGGAGCGGACGCCGTCCCAGGCAGTTCCTTATCCTCGTTCGTGTGTCTGCCGCGGGCCTTCAGAGTGTGTGCGCGCCTCCCCCGGTGAGCGCCCGCCTGTGCTGTGCGTCCTGCTCCGTGGTGTCTGTCCTCACCCCAGCTCCCGGGCTGGATGCTTAAAGCACACCAGTACATAAAACATAAAAAGCTCAGTTGCAGCCAAGCGTTTGCCGCGTCCGTGTGTGAATTCCTGCTCAAGGTCGTCGCCTTTGCCTGGTTAACACACACGCACGTGGTATACGCTCACATAGATGTTTCTGTTAGCTTTCGGCGGGGCATTCGAGCACCTGCTGTGGTGGTTTGTCCAGACGGAACTTCTGGAGGGACGGGAAGCCGAAGCTGCGGCCGCACATGGGTGCTGGCACGCCCGCTTCCCACCGTGCAGACGTCAGCCCTCTGGCTCACTGCCCTTCACGCCCCGAACAGAGCCGACCGCGTGTGTCAGCGTCTCCCTGCCAGGGTGCCCCAGGGGCTGCTGCCCGCACGTGCTTGGGGTGGGAGCACCCGCCCCCCCAGCCCTCGTCCTCGGGTGGATGGACATCACCGGACAGTGGTTTTGCGTTGCGGGGGTCGGGGCTGTTGGGATGTAGTCCTCAACTCTGGGGCAAAACCTCTGAAACGCTATTGTTCCCCCAGTGGAAGCCGTCAGCTGGGGTTTAGCGCTTACTCAGTCTGGTGTGTGTTGTGCAGACTAGTCCTTGCACTGGTGTTTCTAGAGCCTCACTCACCCTTCCTGGTTTTTTTGTGACTTTGGTTCAGAATGAAGCCACAGCTCGGTCCCGCATTGCACGGACGCTGGGCCTCCGGGGTCCCGTCCGCGGGGCCTGCACCCCATCAGTGCACAAGCCTGCGGACCCCTCTCTGGGGCTGATGCGTGCAGACATCGGGGTGGCCACTCTGTCGCTCTTCGGAGACCCCTATGAGCTGGACCCCTTTGACAGGTAACCGCAGGGAGGGGCTTCCCCCTCTTTTCGTGGACAGTGGGCCCCAGATCCCACGTTTGTAAAGAGAGGGTAACGGTTCCTGAGTCTCCCACCCTCGTCGGACCCCCACAGGTGGTGCCCAGAAGGGACACCGTAGGTCCTCAGCCACTAACAGGGAGAACGGTGTTCTGCATGTCGGTCCCTGCTGCCCTGGGCCCGCCCAGAGGTGCATGCAGCTGCTGACACGAAGCTGCTACATGGGTCCCGTGTTCGGGTTTGGGGCACAGGTGCCGCCTTGTGTGGTTGACAAGGGGTCTCCTGGGCCTTCCGTGGGGGTCACCGCTCCTGTGGCCCGTGTGCTCTCTCCAGCAGCGAGGAGCAGTCTGCGGACCCTGCTTCCCCTTTGAGCGCCAAGAGGAGAGTTCTGTCCCAGTCGGCACTGCGCTCTCACCGGCCCGTGGCCAGGCCCGTGTCCGTGGGGCTCTCCAGGTGTGTGCCAACAGGGACAGTGGTCGGGGGGGGGGGGGGGG